GTCATAACCTGGTCCTACCTTGAAAGATGGCCCATGATGATTTTTTGTTGCTCTCTCAAGATCCTTATTGTTTTCGCAACTTGCTCGTCATCGGGAGTCGTTTCCCTCACATGTCGGGGATATTGTCCGCCATGGACCGGAGTTGCTACGTCCCCCTTGTTACCGGTGTCACTAATTGAATCCTCATGTTGATGCAGATTTTTGTGTTCCTCAACGTTGTGCGCGATGTTAATATCGTTAGCTGCCATTTTTTTTTTAAATTTTTGCTAGGAAACAAAGAATCAAACAAGTTAGTGATAGATGAGAGGATCAACTCAGTTACGTAGCTTTTTAAACATCACGGTGGACGCCAAACTGTTTACCCGTAAAATGGGATAGTTGAATTTGTTACGTGGTTTATAGACAAGCGAACCGATTAGACCCACAGTTATAAACAAATTAGATTGAAAATAAGACTTAGCATTAAAATTAAAGGAAGTAGCAAATTTGGCTCCAGGGGCAATGCTTCCGAGAACCGCAATAAAAGCAATATCAGGCAGAAAGCAAAGTTGTATTACTTTCTTGAGAATAAAGTATAACATAAGTTTTGTCACAGATTTGGTGTCGTTTTAATGATTGTTGAAGCCCCTATTTATAGCTATACCTAGGAAACAAGTTGCTAGGATCAAGTCCCTCTTAAATGATAATAATAGGGGTCATTGATGAATATTTAAAGGTAGGTCATGAATGACAAAATTCTTTGTAACGGCTGCTTATTTAATATTGAGGAATATTCTTTATTAAATGTCATCTGATGACAAATATTCGTTCGCTTCCGTTGACTGCATTCCCTTCGGGATCTACCCGATACCAACCGAAACTGTTGTCCTCGGTCTTGGTTTTCACTCGATTCATCTTCCGTCTACCTCCGATTCCACGTGTCATGCAATCATTCGATCATTTAATATAAACTAATTTTACCCTATAGACATTTCTAAGGCAAGACATTCGTTTAAATTTGTCTTGACTCTGGTTTGGGACAATGGAAACGGGTGGAAACTAACTTTCTATCGAACTTCTTGCATGTTAAGGGATTAATTCAAGTTAAATCGGAAAGTAAGAGTTTGAAATTGAAGTTAGGAGAGCTAAATAGATATATTCTCTTCTCACGTTGGGCTAAGAAGCGAAGTTTCGACAATCCATGTGATGAAATAGGTAAAAAAAAAATGGCTACATAAATAGGCTAATTTTTAAGCTGAATAGTAGATTGATGTTTTCAATTCTAAAGCAAAAAGTTGACTATTGTGATTGAAATTTCTCTTTAACTTTTAGGGTCACAAATGTCCCTCTTAACCTCCAATATTATAAAACTAGCACAAAAATACTTCTCTCCCTTAGGACCTTCCACTGTGGCCACACCATCTCACATGGCATAACGTTTCCCTGATATAGACACCATGTGGCACACCACATCACCGTCCACTTCTTCCAACAACACCTTCCCCTTCACTCGGTCTCCCAAAAGAGATCATCCGTTTACACCAAAAAAAAAAAAAAATTAAAGGAAGTTGTTTACTAATTAATTCTATTAAGCAAATAGAACACATAATATATTGTTATCTCGACATATTGTACAAACGAAAAAAAATAAAAAATTCTCCAGTACACATATGCTTGTATATTCCTAAGAAAGGGAGGGAAGGCAAAGGAACCCATTAAAGCTTTAATTCTAGGAAGGAAGCTCATCTCTGCACCGTAAAGTTAAAAGTTTTATAGTTGGATTATTGACACTCTTCAGTTTCTTAATTCACTTTAAAAATGAAGAGTTTAAAGAAATTTTACAAAAATTGAGAAAATGGAAAAGATAACTAGCCATCCAGATTTGTTTGAACAAATCATATGAAAACACAACATACATCCAACCGAGAAAAAAAAACTGAAAGTGGAAAAAGACCAAAATTTCACATTATATCCAAACGAAAAACGAAATAAACAAAACTGTGTATCCAATTTTACCCACTTTAAGGGAAGAAAATAGAGCCAGTAAAACGAATCCAACTAATATAACTGGGGAACTCTTCATGAGCTTCAACTTACAAAATATCAATTCAAGCAAAAAAAAAAGGTGATGGTGGCGGTGGTTGGGTAATGGAAGAGGTGGCGGTGGAAGAAGGAGAGGGTAAAATATTGGTTGGGACGCTGATGTGGAAATATGCGACATAACGTCCATCTCAGCAAAATGCAAGGCCACGAACATGGTGTGGCCAAGGTAGAGAATCCTAACGGAGAAGGGGTATATTTGCATCAATTTTATAACTTCATGGGTAATAGTGGGCGTATAACGGAGGGTATAAATAAGAGCAAACTTTATTTATGGTCATCCGTTAGAAACTAATATCAGCCGCTAGCCACAAATTGTAATATGTATTTTATAGCCCAAAATCAATTATAACGGCTAGCCAATTAACTAGCTAGTCCATTTAATATCAATTATGACCAAGCTACCAGTCCAAGTCCAAGCCCAAACGATCAAAAGACCAAACCTGCAATCCTAAATATCTCACTCTAGAGACAAAAATTAGATTTTTAATCTATTTCTCTTCTTACCACCCCCCTTATCAACCCTTTCCCCTTCTATGCTAAAGTTCAGTTTGTTTTTGACTATGGCCGAAGCTTGCCCCCTCCAATTTTGAGTAAGCCTGTTGTCTCTCTCGATTTTCCCTTCAAAACCCATGACTTTTTCTACTCTCTCGTCTGCAACGAGATTTGGTCAACACAATTAGCCAAATAATTCTGATATTTTTTGAAGCAGATCACGTGAAGCCCCTTCTCTAATCTTTTTCTAGAGATATGCCTATACAAACGACCAATTTCTCTGCTGCATTTTAAAATGGCTCTTTGATCGTTTGGAATTTAAAATCCCGCTCTATCTATAAATACCAGCGTTTAAGAGTTTTGAGGAGTGATTTTTACCTCCATAGAAGCTTATTGCTTCTTTTTTTATCATTGCCATTTCCTCTTTGTAATATATTGTAGAGGGTTGGCTCCCATTTGGCCATCAAGTATCAAGTACTCTCCCTATCCTATATTGCAACCCATGCATATCAAACATGAATATTTTATCAATCTCTTTTTTGGATCAACTTTTTTATAAAAAATTGTATATGAGGCTAATATTTAAAAGTTATTTTAGATTATGTATTAGACTGGAGAGCATTTCTTTTGAATATTGGTATATTATAAAATATATATATATATATATATATATATATATATACAAAATAGACTGTCACTATACAAAAATTATACAAAATAGACTGTCACTATACAAAATATATACAAAAATAGACTGTCATTATACAAAAAATATACTAAATAGACTGTCACTCTACAATTTATATACAATAGACTGCCACTATACAAAATATATACAAAATTGACTGTCGCTATACAAAATATATACTAAATAGACTGCCACTATACAAAATAATATACAAAATAGACTATCACTATATAACAAATATACAAAATAGACTGTCACTATATAAAAATATACAAAATAGACATTTCGAGCTATTAGATGTAATATGTTTGGGCCGGAGGATAATTTTGTGTCAATGTGCAAAAACATGGGCTATTAAAATTTTGAGGGGCTATAGAGGGTAGTTTTCACTATAAAAAATAATCTTTTTTGCATAGTAGGACATTTTGGCATTTTCCCCTCAAATATATTGGTTGTCAATAGGGGTGGCAAATGACGGGTCGGGTCGGATATGAGTCGGGTCGAAAACGTTAATATAAAAACAAATAAATTATTAGACCCGGTCCATATTTATTACAGATAAAAAATAAGTTAAGTGACGAATAATATGGATATCCATATTATCCATGACTTCTTGAATATGATTACTTTTGAGAGAATTCTTAGTCTCACAAACTTGAGGAATTCCCAATTTGAGGCTTTAAAATGTAAAAGTTAACCCATTAGTTATCCATTGGTTATCCATTTTCTAAATGGATAATACAGTTCTTATCTATATTTGGACCCGTTTTTAAAAAACCCATTATTCGACTTATGTTTTTAGTGAATAATATCGTGAATAAGTGTTTTATTTTAATCATTTTGCTATCACTAGTTGTCAAGTTACAGGTCATCCTTAAAAACTGCCATGATGACAAGTTTCATGAGGAAAGAAGAGGTGGAGTATTAATTTTCCCATCAAAATCACAAAAAGAAAAAGAAGAATAAAATGATGATGATATATCAGAGCTAGTAATTGCATTATAAGTGGCTGACACCTCAGATCCACTTCCTTCACTTAATGCTTATTATCTGTTTTGTTACTTTCCATCTTCAATTTGTGGAGTGTTCAGGTGGTTTTACACAATAAGTCTTACTTTTTTATGCTTTTTGAATTATGTCAAAAATATTCCACCAAATTTGATGCTCTGTCCCAGCTTGTCTTTTTCCTTTTCTTCTTCTCTTTTTTACGGGAGAAAACAGAAAAAAGCTGATTTAATCAAATAATGCATTTCGTTGGTCTTAAAGATCCTAGATGTGACACAGACACGAACTCCAGTTTTCACTATTTCTTTCATGTGACACGTAAAGAAACAGTGTTAAATTTGCAAGCGTAAGGGAAACCATCCCAAAAGAAATGCAAGTACGTCGAAAAGACAATTATCTCACGTGCAAACATATACCGGCAGAATTAAATATCTCACAAGATACGCCAACTGTAATTATTGTTGATCAACACGAGAAATATACGATACAGATATGATAAAAGCAATTGGAAATATTATGTTAGTTATTAGTATTCTAAATCTTTATCGGATATTCTAGTTACCAGATTTAGTTAGATAGACAAAGAGATGATTGAATTTTAAAGTTCAGTTTTTTCAGAGGGAAAGTGTGGATAAGATCATATAGTCCCCAATAGTCTTATGTTTAGGTTTACGTTATTGGAAAGAAATTTAGAGTATGTTAAATCAACCTGCAGGTACATATTAATGTTAAAGGATTCAAGAAAGTTCAAGATTAGCAAGATTATTGTTTAAAAGGGACTACATCAGAATGTGCAAGATGCCTTTTCTTTAACCATCAAAATGTGCAAGATGGCCTTTTTTTCCTTATATTTTTTAAGTTTTTGAGGATAGAATGGACTTTTTTTGGTTGGGATTTAGACCCTGCAATTAATGGTTTAAAGTGGAGTTGCTGCATGACCACCATCTTATTTAAAAAGCATAATTAAACTATTAGAGAAAATACACTTTTAATAACTTAATAATTATATTAAGTCTCAATAGGTGGCCTAGGTGTGTGACGATTATTTGCTCCCGAGCCAGGGTAATCATGGCTCTCTAAATCCATCCTTCCATTGATGAACTCTTCCTCCATAGCTTCCAATTTCATCATCTGCTTTCAATCATATTCAAAAAAATCCCCGCAAAACGAAGAAAATGAGATCAGAAACAAGAAATCCATGAAGTAACCCTACTCTCAGAAGCCCAACTCCACTTATGAGATTACACTGGGTATGTTGTTTTAATATATAACAGTATGTTGTTGTAATATATAACAGCAGAAGTACCTGGTTAGTATATGCAGGTGGTGGAAGTTCTTGATTTTCATGCAAAAACAGACGCGTATTCCCTGTAGTACAAGAAGAATGAAGTTCAATGAAAAACAAAATCAGATCATATGATTAACTTAAGCCACTTCAAGAATTAGATAGAGAAGTGATCAAGATTATGTACTTGAGATTGGAGCAGCATTAAAAGAGAAAATGTTAGAGATAGCTAATAAAGCTATAAGTAGAAGAAGGGCATTATTCCCTGCCATTTTTTGTATATATGACACTCAAACTCCTCTGCAGATTCATCCTAATCCACTTCCCTATTTATACTTAACACATGTAGTTGAAGTACTCTATTGTTTTAGAAGCAAAGAGAAATTATTTATTCTTGTCTTAATTAATAAACCATAAGAATCTGTCCTAAAACTAAACTATATAAATATAAATATTAGTTAAATACTCTTGTTATGGAGGAATGCCTACCCTAGTACTTCCTGTCCTCCCTGAGAAGAACATATCGATCCCTTGCTTTTCCAAACATGATCAGATTGACTTATTTTATAGCTAGGTTGTTAAGTGCACCAATGATACAGTTTGTTTTTTTCATTGAAATCTTTAAAATTTAATTCTATTAGTGGAGCACTGCATGAGCCAGTACGAATATCCACATGACAAGGTAGAACATTGTTATATTTGGCTAGCTAATGATTGTGATATTGTCTACTTTAGGTCAAATTTATATGATTTTCTCCAAAAAATCTCGCACCACTAAGGATATCCATATATCGCAATACCCAATAATCTGTCATTCGAAACTAAGTACCACATAACTAATTACACGGAAATTTATTAGCTTATTGTACATCATCCACATGATCCGAGTATTTATAGTTACTAGCTCACAAGCTTCCTCTTGATTCTTGTGTGTGGCACCAAAGTACGGATAAAGACTGAAGGCAGTAAACTGATCTGTTTCTCACCATCACTTTGTTGGATTTGTTTCTTAGCTTTTCATGAACCGTAACTTGAGAGCTGCTCTCTATCATCTCCATACTTGTTTCTTTATACGGTTAACTTATAACATAAAGTCAGCCAAAACCCTTTTTAATATGATGTAATATTAATCCGTTTTGAGTTTCTAACACCAATAAAAATACTTCTACAGTTAATTTATATGTAGCTTTATCCCTTGTTAACTTTTAATGTGCAAACTTTGTCCGCGCCAATAAGATATATCTCGGGACAACTTTCCTGTGAACTGTTTTGGTCTTCAACAAATATGATTTTGCCACGTACAGATCACACAAAGCTTAAAAACCAAGTATATATCAGCTAGCAAGAGAAAAACAAGCACTATGAAGAATAATTGATCCAAGTTTAATTTGTCGGCCATAACTCAATAAAAAAGTATATATGTTTGTGTATAAACTATGATGTAGTTTCATATGAACTCACTGATATTGACAAACTAAAAGCATCATTTCGTGATGTCTTTTCTAGGCTGAAATTTTTTCACTTCAATTGGTATCCACTGCAGGATAATATCGTTCATTACTCTTCTTTTTTTTTTTTTTTTTTTTTNATTTTTTCACTTCAATTGGTATCCACTGCAGGATAATATCGTTCATTACTCTTTTTTTTTTTTTTTTTTTTTTAAGGTCAAGGAATTAAGTGAAGAAAATTCAAATGACAAGCAAGTTACTTTGGTTCATTTTATCCTTTCTTTCTCCTAACCAAAATTGATAAGTCAATATATGTTTAGTTTATTCAAAAAACTGACAAACATATAATATATTAAAATATTTTTATGGGAGAATTTTTTTAGTAATACATGACAGTTATTTTCTTAATCGTCTAACAATAATTTTTCATTGATGTACGCTTTCAAGGTTAACCAAATTTAATAATAAAACATAAAAATCAATATGATACCTAAATAATGATATGTTTTATTTAATTTTAATTATCGAAATATCTTTTTAAATTCGAAAAAGATATAGATTTAATAGATTTTGACATATGAATATGGAAGAACAAAGAGATTGACGTATTTCAGTAAAACTTGATAAGAAAGTGATGATACAATCGATTATCTAAAGTAAATAAAAATGGATGCACTTTATCGTTCTATAAAATATTACTACATCCCATGAGAGTTTTGACATTTTTTTTTAAAGAAAATACTATATAAAGTCTTAAAAGTCTATATATAATTATATATTTATATATCGATTTAGTTCGAAATTTTTTACCCAATACCAAACCAAATCAAACTAAGCCTAAATGGGGTTTCTTAATCGTTTAACTTTTCGGTTTGGTGTAGTTTTCCGGTTCGATTTGAACACCCCTCTTTATAGTACTAGTGGAACTTTCCTATACACCTTTATAAAATTATCGCTTATATTTGATCCCATTAAGAAAAATTTTGGAAAAGTAGCCCCACGTCAAAATTTTAAAGTTTATTGCCAGAATTTTGAAGCATGCTCCAATTCTGGTAGTACACTTTCAAAATTCTGACAACGTGCTTTAAATTTCTGGCAACGTACTTTAAAATTCTGGCATTATGCTTTAAAATTATGGCAACATGCTTTAAACATTTGACAGCAAGCTATTTTTTAAAACATTTCTTAACGAAAAACATAAATAGTGTCACTAAATGATCCTATTTGTGTAAATCTCCTCCTATACAATGTATATGAGCTCTGTTTATAATATGTTGTGCATCTATGGGCGTCAAATGTGTGGGTATGGTTGAATTTAGATAGGTTAAAATAAGCGGGTCAATAGATTATTGGTCGAGATAAATTGAGTCAAAATGGGTTAGAAATCGGATCATTGCTCAATCCGTCCAAATCTAACCAATTCTAACATATCAAACAAAAGAACTCTTGGGTCAGACATATTTTTGTTTCCATAACAGCAACAATTAATCTAGAACTTAAGGCTATGAGATTAGTAGCATTGACATTATAAATCTCTTTCAAAACCTTGTGATCAGTCAAATATGGTATAGACATATACTGTATAGGGATTGTTACACAAATAGTCGGCCAGATTTAATGTTTACTTTTTTTAGTCGGTATACATAGATTATATATTGATTATACACAGTTATACATATATATTACATAGATTATACACATATTATACCTTCGCCGACTATTTTTAGTTTAAAAGATTAAGTGGACGGCTATTTGGGTTAATTACTGTATATAGGATTATGAAATTTGGCCCAAGCCTAAATGACTCGTCCAATCCGTCCAAGGTTGAGCTGGTTATTGACCCGCTCATTTATTGAGCTCAATCCATCTTGACCCAATCTTTCTCAACCCATTTAAAGGTGGATTGATTTTTAGCCCAAATTGATCTATGAGTAACTTTGCCAAAATATCTTAGAAATAATTCTTTTTTGTTTGATATGTTATATATGACCATAACAAAAGGGAAAAAAAAATTATATTTCGTACTTATACAATTCATAAGAAAATAATACATATTAATTAGATCTTGGAAAGAGTTGGGCGGGTTGAGCTATGACCCAAATTTTAGTCCATCTCAGCCCATATATCTTTTAGGCGGGTCATTGACCCATCCATTTATTAACTTATCCGATTTTGACCCGCCCAAAATCGACTCAACCCGCCCATTTAATACCCCTAACTGTATATAACATGCTAGAGTGTTATTTTTTCCGGCATGTTGCCTCTATTCTTTCGTTGCTCCCCCAATTTACCACTAGGGTGAAAAATTATCAGCCTCATGTGTTTATACGGTTCAATAATATATATCTTTATTAACATAATTATAAAAAACGTATAAGTCATAAGTGATTAATATACATTTTCACTTTAATTTATTATTTAATCATGATAAATTAATAGAATTGATGTAAATATCCAGTGCACATACATTTTTGCCATATTGTGGATATATATAATTGTTTACCCGTAAAACGGTACAATTGAATTTATAAAATTTCAAAAGTACCACTCAACTTGGATTTTAGCTTCCCGGGAAACATCCTCAACCTTGGGTTGAACAACAATACAAGATTGCCCACCTTGAACTCTTTGTTCCAAATATATTTGTAGATATTTCATCGTTTCTTTGTACAAGGACAAACTCGCATAAGCATGGTACCGGAACTCATCCAATTCATTCAAATGTGCAACCCTCAAGTTAGTGGCTATATCCGAATCAAGATTCAACTTTTTTACAGCCCACATTGCCTTGTGCTCTAGTTCCACCGAAAGATGATAAGCTTTTCCGAACATCAACCGGTATGGCGATATTCCGATAGGTGTTTTGTAAGTCGTCCGATAAGCCTATAATGCATCATCAAGCTTCTTGGACCAATCTGTCTGATTAATATTCATCATTTTGGACAAGATACTCTTTATCTTACGGTTGGAGACTTCCACTTGCCCACTAGCTTGTGGGTGATAGGGAGTCGTGACTTTGTGAATAACACCATACTTGCTAAGTAAAGTGTCAAACGTTTTGTTGCAAAAATGTGACCCCCCATCGGTTATAATTGCATGTGGAGTACCAAACCTTGTGAAAATATTCTTGTTCAAGAAAGCCACTACACTTCTCGCCTCATTGTTGGGTAACATGATGGCCTCAACCCATTTGGACACATAATCCACCGCGACCAAGATGTAGGTATTTCCACAAGAACTCACAAAAGGGCCCATGAAGTCAATGTCCCACACATAAAAAATATCAATTTTGAAAATGGTTGTGAGATACATTTCATTTTTCTTTGAGATTTCACCGGCCCGCTAACATTCATCACATTTTTTCACTAACTCACTAGCATCTTTATAAAGAGTAGGCAAATAGAAACCACAACTAAGCACTTAGGCCATTGTTCTCGCTCCACCATGATGATCACCATATGACAAAGAATGGCAAGCCCCAAGAATATCACCTTGCTCTTCTTCCGGTATACACCTCCTAATTATCCCATCTGTACAAATCTGAAAAAGGTATGGTTCATCCCAATAAAAAAATTTGACAATCTCTTTTGAGCTTCTTCCTTTAGCTTGAAGAGAACTCATCCGGAATGATTCCGCACACAAGAAAATTTGCTAAGTCCGTGAACCATGGCACCTTTTTTTTATTGAAATTGCCAAGAGTTGCTCATCGGAAGAAGAGTCATTGATTTCAAGGCCATCATGCGGCCTCCCCTCCTCCTCTAAACGAGACAAGTGGTCCGCCACTTGGTTTTCACTCCCTTTTCTATCTTGGATGTCAATATCAAATTCTTGTAACAAGAGCACCCATCTCATCAACCGAGCTTTGG